ACGAGGACGCCGCCGGCCCCGTTCCAACTGAACCGGTTGGAACGGGGCGAGAAACCCACCCCTGATCCTTACACATCCTTCCTAAGTGAAGTGAATTTGTGGAGTCAAGTAAGGATCCCTTCCATTTGTAATTTAAGATACCTGTGCAAAAGAAAGGAGAGAGATAAGCAGCAGAGGTAGTAAAGACAATTTATTGGTGGGAATGGTACCACTTGGTATGCACAACTGATATTTTTAATTTAAGACATGATATTTAGAAACACACACACACACACACACACACACACACACACACTTTTCTTACATTTCTGCCCAACCTTTCTTTCTTGATTAAAATTGCTGAAAGGGTAAAACTCTTTTCTCTGTACAACTCAAGTTGGCAGTGGTCTAATTAATTAGCATGATCTGCTTTTGACAAATCCATGTTGGCTTCTGTTTTGTTCATCTATTTAGCACTAACAATCAATTGATCCATTTTTTAAATCCATATTTTTCTTCCATAGTCCTAATCTTGAATGGATAAAATGGTTTATTTTTGTTGGGAAATCTTACCTAGAGGTTTTTAAGTCAAAAGTTCCTTCTTTTGTTAGTCACGAACTAGACATAATTAAATAACAATAGCACCCTCTACTGACCAAAAAGCAAAATTGTCAGTAAGACTGCCATGGAACTAATTGAGACATGAAATATTCAATTAACAATTGTTTACAGATAGGATCCCCAGACAGATAGATAAGGAGGGGAAAAAAGCCCCATTGGGAGCAGGAAAAAAAATCAAGTCAATACAAACAGTTTTGGCAGGTATTTTTTTTAAAAAAACAATAACATTTCTTAAAAAGCAATAGAGTTCAAATCTAGCAAAATACAACCGTGTTTTGTTTTAAAAACCCAATGCAACTTCCAAAATAATTCAAGCAAAAATAAGTTTAAAAATACTGGAAATCATCAAGAGGGAAAATATACCTTATCAAAATATCAAAATATCTCTTACCCAGCAAATAAATAGAACAAAAAACACTGTTTGAAAAATGAGGAAGCCAAAACTAGCTGTCCTATTTACAGATTAACAGAGTTGGAAGGGACCTTGTAAGTCATCTATTCCAACCCCACATCCACGCAGGTGACCCTGCACCATTTCTGACAAATGGCAGTCCAATCTCCACTTGAAAGCCTCAAATGATGAAGCTCCCACAACTTCCCAAGGCAACTTTTGTTCCACATTTGGGCTGCATCACAACACTGGACACGCTAGTCCTCCATTCTCTTATTTGGTACTTCAACATTTGATCGCAAAGTCCCTTCCACATCTTCTTGCCAACTCGGGCTATCCAGAAGACAATGATTCCTACAGCTCTCCTTAAAATTTAGGGAGCTTTCCAGGCTTCAGATCCTGTCTGGACCATTGATCAGTTGGATGTTGGTACAGAACAAAGTCTACATCTGTGTTACTTTGACATATTCCCTCATGGTAGGCGCACAATACCCATGGATTTAATTGGATATTTGCCATCTTCTATCTAAATAACCTTCTGATGCAGTGAAAAAAATTACAGCACCTGGAAAAAGTTAGATTCATGAAGTTGGTGGACATTTAAGAGTAACTGCATTATAGAACTGGTCTTAAATTAAATCTATACGAATGTGCTGCACAGTTCTTCTCATCGATTACCTGAGGATATTAATTAGGAGACAAGGAAGGAAGGTGTGGTTCTTCCAGTGGGGGTGTGGCTACAGGTAGCAATTGAGCCTTGCAGTACACTGCATTTGTAGTCATGTGATGATCCCTTGTGTTTTTTTTTTATGAATCACATCCCATTTGTAATTTAAGATACTTCTGCAAAAGAAAGGGAAGAGGTAAGTAGCAGTGGAAGTAAAGACTACTTATTGGTAATTTGCACCTAGTGAAGTCATACAGGGCAACATGAGGACCACATGAGGTGACTTTCTTGAATGTGAGACCAGAGGTGGGTTCCTACCAGTTCGCACCTATTCGGTAGAACCGGTTCGTCAAATCTACCGGACCGGTTAGAAGAGGTTCCACCAGTGGACCCGGAAAGCAGGCCACACCTACAGAAGAGGTTCCAAAATTTTTTGAAACCCACCACCGCTAAAGCGTTAGAGGTGCAAGGATCTTGTAACTTGACAGCTTTAAGACTTGCATGCTTCAATGCCAGAGTTCCTGAGCCAACGTGACTGGAGGAGGAATTCTGGGAGTTGAAGTCCACAAGTCTTAAAGCTGTCAGGTTTGAAGACCCCTAGTTTTTTTTCTAAAGGGTTAGGGGTGCAACGGTCTTGTAACTTGACAGCTTTAAAACTTGCACGCTTCAATGCCAGAGTTTCTGAATAGCTACTTGGACCGACCTAAGTACTAATTCATAATTTCATATCCGGTCACATGGGCGGCAAGCCACTCCCACAAAGGAGGCCACACCCACAGAGTAGGTTCGAACAATTTTTGAAACCCACCACTGGTGAGGTCTATTACAAGGAGTAAATACTTGCCTCTTGGCGTCACAAGTGCTGCTTTGTTGCAGATTTTCAATCCAAGTTAGACAATTATTTATCTATATAGTATTATTCTATGCCATTGTAAGTTGCCCAGAATCACTCTGGATTTAATTTATATGGGTAGCATATAAATTAAATAAATACTGTTGGTGAGGAAAAAAAAACCTGAACTTAAGAAAATGAGGTGACTTCACACTTCCAAATTTTAGACTGTATGATCATGCTAGAGGTTTAACCTGGATTTCATAATGCATGCTCTCTTCTTATGCTTCTGTCCTTTATCTTGCAATATATCTGAATGTTTGGAATAAATATAGGAAAAAAAATAATCTGGGCTTTCTCCCTCTTGCTACATTATTCAGTGGTTATTTATATAAACATGAAGGATCCTAGAATTTTCCTCAGACGAGAGATAATCGTTTATTCCGATTTGTTCTACATTTGATTAGTTTCAGTATCTTCAACAAGCTGCTTGGTAGTAACATAACTGCTGAAACAAGGAGGAATATTGAGATGTTTGATTGAATTTGACAGTTTTACTAGTCATCATTTATTAGAAGAAGAATATTAAATTTACTTGGAACATTATGCTCAGAAGGAATTGATATAATATATTTTATCTTTGGTATATCACTCTAGTCCTGATGCTAAAATGAATAAATCTTCCTCTAAAACATTTGAAATGTAGTGAGCAGATAGAAGGCCTCCTTTTCCCTGTAGTGGCAATGCTGCAGAGCCCAACCAAATAGTAAAATGATTTAGTTTAGAACAAATTTTGAAAGTTGGAAACCCATTGCAACCGGAGATGTTGCATGAGTTGTTTTTAAAACTGTAGAAATTTTTTTAAAACCTACTGAATTAAGACTGTATATTTATTAAAAGAAGCTTAATAATAGATTAAATTCCAACCAAAAAAACTTCCCTTAAAAGCCAGGCTCATTAGAAAAAAAGTTAAAAGGCAATCAAAGGCAATCAGTGAGGGTCCAATCCTGGCACTTACGTTATTCTTTAAATACTTGGGTGAGGACACAAGGTTAGCATCTAGTCCAATCATATTTCAGTTTGGAGAATTACGTTGGATGCTGACAAGTTAAAAAATGACTAAAGGCTGGCAAAAAAGATTTATGAAGCTTTCTGGATTGCATTTCTTCAAAACAAAAGTTATAAAAACACATTTGCATAAAAGATCTCCTCCCTTTTAATCTATATAAAATTGACTTGGTTTCAAGCTCCAGTCGGTTTAGAAGTGCCCAACCAGTGTTTTCGTCTGAGTTCTTGGTTTTAATTAATGACAACAGGAATATCATGTCTAGATGGTAAGTTTCTTGAATTTGTGACCATATCATTGTTATATTCGCACAATTTCTGGAGTGTTTTGTAAATGCAAGGGGATTTATATGGGGCCAGGATATTAAACATATAATTTAGAATTTCACAAACTTTTATCTATGTTTTTGTCTATAGGTTGGGAAAATGAATTCCAAAGTGATTTATTCTCTCATAGCAATATGCATCACTATTATTTTCATCTTAATCTTGGTTTTCTGTACTAGAGGACAAAAACACACAGATTGTGAGAGTTCTCAGAAAAAGGAGGAAGAGGAAGGTCAGGATGTTGGCAGCCAAGTATTTCAAGATTTAACCCCAGAAGAGATAATGCAAGTAAAGCAGTATTTACAGTCCAATCTGGGAGTGCCACTGGTAGAGACACCTCAAGCCAAACCATCAGACAACTGCATTCATTTCATAACTTTGCAGCTCCCTCCCAAAGCACAAGTATTACAATTCCTAGATGATCAAGGATCTCAGCCACCACGAGAAGCTCTGGCTGTGGTCCATTTTGGAAATCAAGTGGACCCCAATGTGACAGAATATCTGGTGGGTCCACTACCAGAACCAACATATTATGAAGATATCACAGTAGAAAAATATGGAAGGAAATTGCCTTATTATCAAAGGATGGTTTTGAGAAATGAGCTTCGGGAAATCAGTGATTTCTTAAAGAGAAATGAATATCAGAAGGCTCCAAATTTCATGCAAAAAGTTCTAAATTACAATGGAAGCAATCTTCGATACAATTATCAATTTCCATTAGGGCTCAAATCAGGAGATCGTAAAACATGGGTGAGTCATTTCCAGAATGTGTCTGGCTACTATTTGCATCCAGTTGGTTTTGAGGTCCAAGTGGATCATTGTAGCTTGGATGTTTCTGAATGGAAGTTAATAAAAGTNTCAGTTTCCATCCATTATTCCTTGTCTGGCCTTCAGGTGCTTTGGAAAATAGCTTGACCCCCTTATCTCTGTGGCATCCCCTCAAACATTGTAATACTGCTATCATGTCTCTCCTGGTCCTTCTCTTCACCAGACTAGCCATGCCCATTCCTGTAACTGTTCTTCATATGTTTTAGTCTCCAGTCCTCCAATCATCCTGAATACTCTTCTCTGCAATTTTTCTATAGGCTCAACATCTTTTTTATAGCGGGTTGACCAAAACTGGAGGCAGTACTCTAGGTGTCGTCTTACTAGGGCTTTATAAAGTGGTATTAGAACCTCACTTGATCTTGATTGTATCCTTCTGTTAATGCAAACAAATCCAAATATAAATTAAAGGTAAAATTGTGGCCTCAAATTCATTTTAAGTTTATATCAGCTATAACCATATCCGGAATAGAAAGACTTGTCTATTGATAGCCATGCATAATTTTCTCCCTTGTCTAATTTTTGTAATTACCATCCAATGGTCCTCTTCAGAAGCACGGCTGGTTTCAGCATGTCTTTCCAATCGCTCTGGTTGAGTATTGAAGAAATCTGAGCCATATTATTTTGTGTGTAATCATGTATTTCTGGACCCAATTCGAAGTGCTAAACTGAAATTTAATTTTCTTTGTGGTTTGGGATCACTATATTTAATCAACTCCCTACCAGGAAGAATCCCATTCCATTGCTAGTTTGCATAGATCCCTCAGTGGTTTAGGGGTTCTGCAACTCATCAATGTAATTACATATGGCAGTTCAAGCTTAAAATCTTCTCAAATTTCAAAAGTATTTTAGTAATGAGTTAAAACAATGATTGTTCCTAAGTTTTTACATCTGTCATGGAACAACCTTCTGTCATTATATTGCCTTTCAAGACTTATGCCTCGAACAATAATCTTTGAAGATCTTAAGAAGAGAAATAATAATTGATAAATGTCAATCTCTGCAAGTCTTCTTGTTTTGCCTTTTAGTTATAAGCTAGCTGTTACAACGAGGAAGGAAAATGAACCTTTCAGCACCACTGTCTACAATCAGATTGACCCTGGAATCCTCCTGTGGCCTTTGCTGACTTCATAAACAATGAGAACATTGTCAAAGAGGTAAGTGAAGAAGGACCCCACCTACCATCGAAGCATTTTGTAGCTTATTATCCCAAAATTCTGCAGAATGGATCTAAGGTCTTTGCTAACAATTTTGTATTCTCCATTTTCCATTTCTACACATCCCTAATTCTAAGTAGACAAACAAAAAATCATATTGTCAGATTATCCCTGCGTTTTACTAAATTATCTGCTGCTTTACTGAACAAACTTAGTTTCTTTCAATCCATTCCTGTGCTACCACTGGTGGGTTCCGGATCTGGTTCCAACCAGTATGGTTGGAATGGGCCCAGCGGCATCCACGTGGACGCACGCAGCACACACATGCATCTTAGCCCCTCTGTGAGCCTCCATGATGCTTCACCTGCTCAGTGGAGCGTCACACAGGCATTGTACGCGCTGTGCAGGGAAGCGAAAGTGCCAAAGACTTAAAAGACTGGTAAGGAGCTTGGGCGAGTGGGTACCAGAACAGTATCTGGTGCTCCGGGCAGGCTCTGGTATGCCCGTACTGGGGCATATCGCCTGCAACCCACCACTATGTGCTACCAATCTGTTTAGCAGGTCTTTCCCCTAAGATAGCACAATAATATTATCCCTTTTTTCTTTCACAGGATCTGGTTGCCTGGATCAATACTGGCTTTCTCCATATTCCACATGCTGAAGACATACCCAATACTGCAACCCTTGGGAATTTGCTTGGTTTCTTCTTGAGACCATACAGTTATTTTGACGATGACCCTTCCATGTATTCTCCAGACAGTGTTTTCTTCGACAACCATTTCCTGTGAGGTCAAACAACTTGCATGTCTGGCAAAAATATCTGCCCATTCCCCCTCTCCTTTTCACTAATGAGGATTTTCAGAACATAACACTGCTCTAATGCAGGGGGGTGTCAAACTCAATTTCATTGAGGGCTGCATCATGGTTGTGTTTGACCTTGGGGACCCAGGATGGCTGTGGCCAGGATGGCTGTGGCCAGCTTGACATTACTCCTGTCGGGGGCGCCTGTGAGCACTCTGCCAGCAAAAACGGGCTCCCCAGCTCTGTTTCAGTGGCGATACGCAACCCTCCCAAGCTCTGTTTTCACTAGTAGAGGCACTGCGGGCCAATCCTTCACTGTTCCCAGAATGGCCCCATGGACTAGCTCTAAGCACCCTGTGGGCCAGATCTGGCCCCTGGGCCTTGAGTTTGACACCCCTGTTCTCATGCCTTTCACTGTTTGATAGGTGAATTAGAAATTGGAAACAATGAATGTGTACTACAGGTAGCTAATAGTTTCTTCTTTCTGCAGCAGAGGTGGGTTTCTACCAGTTCGCACCTATTCGGTAGAACCGGTTCGTCAAATCTACCGAACCGGTTACAAGAGGTTCCACCAGTGGACCCAGAAAGCAGGCCGCACCTACAGAAGAGGTTCCAATTTTTTTTGAAACCCACTACTGCCACACACACACACACACACACACACACACACACACACTGACACACACACACACATACACACACAGAGAGAGATGAAAGAAAGAAATAAATAAACAAAAAAGAAAAAAGAAAGAAAAAGAGTGTGAGAGAGAGATGAAAGAAAAAAAGAAAAATGGGACAGAGAGACAAAAGGAAGGAGAGAGAGAGAGAGAGAGAGAGAGAGAGAGAGAGAGAGAGAGAGAGAGAGAGAGAGAGAGAGAGAGAGAGAGAGAGAGAGAGAGAGAGAGAGAGACAGGCAAGCCACTCCCACCAGGTCACATGGCCGGCAAGCCACTCCCACAAAGGAGGCCACACCCACAGAGTAGGTTCCAAAATGTTTTGAAACCCACCACTGTTCTGCAGCATTAATTATTTTTGTTTGTCTGAGTATTATTCCACTGTCTTCAGGAAACCATGGGTTGGAATTCTCTCAGGATTAAGAAGAATGTTGTAGAACCTTTCTTTGCTTTAGGAATACTGTCTCTAAGCATGCAAGGCTGACATTTTTAACTTGACAGAGGACATTGAGAATGACATATACTGGTGTTTATTAGCTGTGATCCTCCATTCCTTTTACAATATTAAAACACTGATGAGGAACCCCCTGTTGTAAAATTATGTAGAGTTACGTGTTTTTAAGAAATAAGGCATGTGATCTGGCATATGAATGATTTGTCTTTCTTCTGGCAAAACCCCCTAAACAATGGAAAGAGGTTTCTTTCATCTATTTTATCTGATACGTTTCCGTCCAACTTTTCTTTCTTAATATTGCTGAAAGTGTGAAACTCTTTGGAAGGACTCTGCTATATACAGTAGGCAAGCACTGATTAGGCCCAGGTCTGCTTGGCTTCTCAAAAGGAGTTGGACTTTCATTGTAGGGATGGGAAGATTCAGTCATCTAGCCAGTAATCAGTATGAGGGATTAAATCAGAATTGTAGGATGAACTCATGGATAGTATAGTTAGAATCAGGAACCCAAAATAAGCAAAAATGCAGGACTGCAAGATGTTGTGGTTGAAGCAGGAGTCTTGTAAGAAAGGAAAGCCTGTTGTGTCTCTCTCTGATACAGGATAATCTAATACAAAGGTGCCCAAACTTGGCAACTTTAAGATTTGTGGACTTCAATTCCCAGAATTCTCCAGCCAGCATAGCAAAGAGTTGAAGTCCACAATAATAGGAGGTCTAAATTGAAGTCAGATCAAACAATCAAACATGCATTTTTATCATTATTTATAATATTCCTTTTCATCAGGATGCAACCCAAGTACAATGAAAATAAACAAATAATAATTATTTTGTATTTAAAATATAGGCGGAATACATGTGGCATAATATATGCATAAGCACAGTGCAAATGATAGGATAGAGTTATTAAAGCTAACGTTAACTAATAAGATTTAGCATAGCAAAAGTTTATATTGCCATTCTTAGCATATGCTCACAATCACTTCCATTTTGTTTTGTCTCAATCCAAACACTCACAAACACACAGGGAGCTTTGGAAACTTCACTAGGAACTTTTCAAGCAAATCAGCAAGGGAGGAGGCAAAGGTGCGTGCAAATACACAAGCATACACCTACACCGAAGAGAAATCAAGTCCCCCCAGAGGTCCGGCAAGCTTGCCTTGAAAGAGACTCCAAATCCAAAACATTAGACACAAGTGAGGTCAGGGAAAGTTCTACGGTCCAATTGTTTGTCACCAGCCAATCTAAGTCCAGAATCACAGTCCAAAGATTTCAGGTTAAGGATTAAGGCACCTGGAACCTAGGTTAACAAGCAGTTGTTGCAGATGAAGAGACTTGAGCTTTCCACTCTTATTAAATCCAAGGAACACCGATGTGGCTTATTTGGAAAGACAAGACAATCATTGGCAACAATTCTTGCAAGGACCCTTGGAGAGTATGTTTGCTCTGCTCTCCCTTGCCCAAGGCGAGCACTTGCACCAGCAGGCGCACAGGAAGTGGCCCCTTTTACTTTTTCCAAGACAGGTGGCAGCTGTGTCATCTGGATGGCAGACGGCGTAACCTCCTTTGCCTGCAGCTGCTCGGGATCGCCTAGCCGTTTTGGGATTGGCTGCTCTCTGTTGGTTTCCTTGTAAGAGTCTGAGCGGGCCATAATAATAAACAGGTTTTCCAGCCTTTCTGAAATGCATTTAGGGAAGTTTAAAACAGAATGAGAGGTCGGGGGGGGGGGGGGAAGGGAAGAGAACTTCATAATTGAAGACCTTGATCTTGAAGTGTGTGCAAATGAAATGGAGCAAAGGGAGAAGAGGAAATGAAAAGGAGCCGCTGTCTTGTTATGCGAACAAAACTATAACAAGACAGAAAAAGATGTTGGCAAATAATGAGCCGCTAATCATAGGAAATTAAACACAAGCTCTGTAAATACAGGCTCTTCAAGGATTTTCAGACAAGCTGCCAGTAAGAGAGCTTTACACTGATTGCAATCAAATGTTTCTGCTTTTTGGCACCGATCATGTACAATTCTAGTGATGCAGCCCAATTATGCAGGCTAAATTAATATAGAGATTGGTTTTTTTTTTCCTTTTATAAAGTTCATTATTCCCCGCTATGGAGTATGAAACTCACTTGCAATTCAAAATAATCATTGGATTACATCAGTGGTTCCCAAACTTGGCAACTTTAAGACTTGTGGACTTCAACTCCCAGAATTCTCCAGCCAGCAGAGCTGGCTGGAGAATTCTGGGAATTGNATTGGATTGCCATAGAGTGAAACAGTTCCTTTGACAAATGTAGTATATTTGAGTTATGATCTATAACAGCAATGGTGAACCTTTTTTGGCTCACATGCCATAAGCAGGGGGGGCGCAGGGGGGTCGTGTGCGGGCGTGCTACACCCATAATGCAATGAGCGATTCCCCAGTACGCATGCGCGCATGACAGGGGCTCTCCCCCATTTTTTGCGTGCTTTTTTCACCCTCTCCAGGCTCCAGAGGCTTTATAGGAGCCTGGGGAGGGCGAAAACAGCCTCCCTCACTCAGAGGCCCTCCGGAGGTTTCAGGAGCTTCCCTGAAGCCCCTGCAAAAAACCGGCCCTACAGGCAAACCAGAAGTTCAGGAACGGACTTCCGGTTTGCTCATAGGGCCAGTTTAAGCCCTCTGGAGCCTTCAGGGACCTTCAGGAAGCTTCCCTGTAGGCTCCAGATGACTAAAAATGGCTGACAGGGCAACACCTGCCATGTGCCCTGACAAATGGCTCAGCATGCCACCTGTGGCACGCACGCCATTCCGGATCTATAATCCTAATTGGAAGAGCAGTTGAAATACTTTCCATGTTACAATGTTCCATTTTGGGGGAATTACCCTCAATCTGAGAGGTATTCTTAAACTCGACCTAAGACAAATGCTACAGATTATTGGAGGTTAATACTGTTTAGTAGTAAAACGAGTCTCACAATCTTCTGTTTTCTCCAATGTTTTCCCAAAAAACCAAAATAATAATAATATCTGAACCAGATCAGCTTTGAGATGTACAGAAATAAAATTTAAATTATAGAAAAAAAGGAAGAATGGCATTAATCAATTCAAACAATATAAAGTAAAGATAAAATTGTGACCTGAAATACCGTTCATTTCAGCTATAACCATATCCAGAGCATATAGACCAGAGGTGGCATTCAGCAGATTCTGACCAGTTCTGGAGAACCGGTAGCGGAAATTTTGAGTAATTCGGAGAACTGGTAAATACCGCCTCTAACTGGCCCTGCAGCCATCTATTCTCTGCCTTCCGAGTTCCAGCTGATTGGGAGGAAATGGGGATTTTGCAGTACCCTTCCCCTGCCATGCCCAAGCCACACCCACCAAGCGACACCACACCCACCAGGCCATGCCCACAGAACTGGTAATAAAAAACAATTGAATCCCACCACTGATATAAACCCATCTATTGGTGGCCATGCATATTTTTAACATTTATCTGATATTTGTAACCCTCATCCCCTGCACAAGTCCCCTTCAGAAACATTATTGGTTTCAATGTGTCTTTTCAATTGTACTGGTTGTCTGTTGAACAAATCTGAGTCATATTATTGTACCCAGTTATAACCATATCTGAAACCAACAGACCTGGCTACTGGTGAGAATTTGAAATTGCTCTGGTTGAGTATTGAAGAAACCCATGTCATGTTCTTGTAAATTTGTACTCTTCATTTGGGACCATGAGATGCTCCTGGTAAACCTTAATCTCCTGAATTTGGGGTCAGTATATTTAATGGACTATCTACCAGGATGGAGATCCATGATACCTGCTAGGTTGGCAGAGATCACCACAGTGGTCTTGGGATTCTGCAATTCATCTATGGAATTACACATGGCAGTTCAAGTGTAAAATCAACTCAAAACTCATTGATAGTTTAATAATGAGTTACAACAATGATTGTCCCTATATTTTTATTGTTGAGCTGTCATGGAATAGTATCCTGTGATTATGTTATCTTTCAAGACTGGAACAGTCATGTCTGAAAATCTTAAAAGAAATAATAATGAATAAACCTCAATCACTGCAACGTTTCTTGCTTTGCCTTAAAAGTTATAAACTAGCTGTTACCAAGAGGAAAGAAAGTGAATCTTTCAGCACCACTGCCTACAATCAGATTGACCCATGGAATCCTCCAGTGGCCTTTGCTGACTTCATAAACAATGAGAGCATTGTCAATGAGGTAAGTGAAGATGGACCCCAACTAGCACTGAAGCACCCTGCATTGTATTATCCCACAATTTGGTGCTGTCCAAATGCATTGGAATTGAAGTCAAACTCACTTGGAAGACAACAGATTATGAAGGGCTGTCATCCAAAGCTTACTTTGGAAGTAGGCACATGCTGCTAAGAGTTTTAGCAGCACTTTCTCTTTAGGGGGAAAAGGAACAATCATGGTGATTTTTAGGATGCTTGTTCAGAGGACAGGTTAAATTCTCACATACCGGGATCAGCTTTCCTGTTTGCGTTTGTGTTATTTGAGGTAATTTGATCTTGGAAACTTTGCATGGGATTTATGCCTTACGTTTTGCATTTCTAATGGATTTTTAATACCAAAGTTGATAAAATTTTGAAGAATGGATATAAGGTCTTTGGTGACAATTTTCTACTCCAGTTTTCCATTTTTACACATCCCCAATTCCAAATAAGTAAGTAAAAAGTTATACTATCATATTAAATCCCCCCTCCCCCCGATTTTACTATATCATCTGCTCATTTACTTAACCAACTTAGCTTCTCTGAATTTATTGCTGTACTGCTTTTCTGTTTAACAGGTCTTTCCCCTAAGATAGTACAATAATATTCTCCCTTTTCGTTTCATAGGATCTGGTTGCCTGGATCAACACTGGCTTTCTCCATATTCCACATGCTGAGGATATACCCAATACTGCAACTCTTGGAAATGTAGTTGGTTTCTTCTTGAGACCCTACAATTATTTTGATGATGACCCTTCCATGTATTCTCCAGACAGTATTTACTTCAAGCACACGGAGGGCTTCCTTTCCTGTAGGGCCAACCAACTTGCATGCCTGGCAAAATTAGCTTCGTGTCTGCCTAATTTCCCCCTTTTTACTTATGAAGGTTTTCAAAACATAACAACTCTCTAATATCTTCTACTTTTTGACAGGTGAATTATAAATTGGAAACAAAGAATGAGTCTGAATTACTGCTAGCTTTTCTCTTATTTCTGCAGCATTAATGGATATTTTCTGTCTAATTATTAGTCCACTCTCTTCAGGAAACCATGAACTGGAATTATCTGGGGATTAAGAAGAAGATTGTAGAACTTCTCCTTTGCTATAGGAAAGAAAGCATGCATGATTCACATTTTTAATTTGACAAAGGACATCAAGAAAGATATATGCTTGCATTTATTGGCTACAATTCTCCCTTTCTTTTACGATATTAAAACACTGATGTTAGAATTGAAAATTAGCTTTCTGATCCACTGATTAACAATAGCAATGACACTTAGACTTATATACCGCTTCATAGTGCTTTAAAAAGCCCTCTCCAAGCGGTTTACAGAGTCAGCATATTGCCCCCAACAACCTGCGTCTTCATTTTACCCACCTTGGAACGATGAGTCAACCTTGAGCTGGTGAGATTTGAACTGCCAAACTGCAGCTAGCAGTCAGTTGAAATAGCCTGCAGTACTGCATTCTAACCACGGCACCACCTTGGCTCTTAGAGGTGCTCCATTCCGACACTTAGGATTAGAGGAAAACAGGGGTGTCTTTCATGAGAAAGATCATAAAATGACTGGTGGTGTCCTCTTTGTGACCTAGTAGTAATTCCATATTTTAGAAGATATGGGATTACTTAGAAGTAATCTTTCTGAAGAAGATACTAGAGAAGATAAATTGATGTCTTGGGAACTTGGTCTGCTTTGGCCAGTCTCTTCTGTGATAGTGTACCTTAGTGTCCCGGCTGTCCCAGAGGCAAAGAAAACAAGGAAACTTCGTGAAACCACCTTGGAGCCCCATCAGGAATGACACCATTTTGAAGTCTCCTATGACCTTCCAGCCATAGTCATCATACTTCAAGGCACTCAGGAACATCTTGACACTGTTGTAGTGGTGTAGCCCTCTTTGAGATGCACAGAATGAGCCACAGGGAGAGATGGATACATGTTCCTGTTATGAAACAGCATGGCTTTGAGCTCCTAGATAAACTGTTTATGTGTATGTGCCAATCACCTGTGACTCCTATGGCCTCGAATAGACTGGCCACATTGTTGCAAAAGCACAGCCCATCTTGCCAACTGAAGAAGTTCGGAAAACAATTGGTGATGCTTTATCTGATCTGTGACTTGTACATTTTCATCCAAAAAGTTCCACACCTTGAGCCTAGATGACAGATGCTCATCATGGGACTTGGTAAGACCAAGTTCTCCGATTGGATCATTGATGTCTTTCTGGCTGGGAAAGTATGGCTTCCTCTCCTCAGCTGCATTTGTGAAATTGTAAATTTATCTGCAATATCTTCCTTGCTGTCTAACTTACTTCTCACTTCTGAAGATGGCTTAGCACTCTTTGGAGGAGTGGGAAAAGGGAGCTCAGGGCAGTGTGATTCATTGGCAATGGATGAAGGCAGCGGTGAGATCCTTCCAGTTTAATGGATCTGACATGCGCTGNCTGGAGTTTTGCATTTGGAATTGATGCAAGCAGGGGTCCACGTATCTTTGATGTCAGGTTTAATGGGGAAAGAATAATCTATGAGCTAAGTTTGCAAGAAGCAAGTGCTATCTATGGCTCCAACAGTCCTACTTCCATGTTGACCAGATACATGGATGCCAGCTTTGGACTTGGGTCCCATATCTTTCCAGTTACCCGAGGATTAGATTGTCCTTATTTATCCAGTTATTTGGATTGGCATTTTTTCTATGATACTTCATTGCCTGTTAGCCGTAAAATGGCTATCTGCATCTTTGAGCAGAATACTGAGTTACCCATACGACGACATTTTGAAAACATCCAGTCTCACTTTTATGGAGGGTTGGCAGATTCAAATCTGGTGTTCCGGACCATATCTTCAGTTGAGAACTATGACTATGTCTGGGATTTTTTTTTCTACCAAAATGGAGCTGTCGGTGTTCGAGTCCATGCCAGTGGGTACATTATATCTGATTTTTACTTTGGTGATGCTGAAGACTTTGGCAATAGAGTCCAAGAAAAAGTGCTGGGATCAATTCATACCCATAATATTCATTTCAAGGTGGATTTGGATATTGGTGGTAAGTAGGAAAAATGTTTGTAACTTGCATGGGAGTTATAGGCTCTTTGCCTTAATTTGCTTTGACAGAATTGTTCTAATGACTGTTAGAACTATCATGGAGACAAACTCAAGAATATGGTTACTATTCTCCTAATAATGTTCTTGAACTTCAATTGAGGAGTAGTGAGGGTTTTTTTAAAAATTAAAAATATTTATTCACTGCCTTGTCAGAAAACTTAATTCAAGTTCTATCATAATAACAAGAAAATATAATGGCATCAATTTTGTAATTATGTCTTCATATATTTTGGGAGTTTGAACATGTAGTTTTACAATCAGCATTTTTGTAATTCTTACAGATGTTAACAAACTTACTTAAAGCTGAATCTGTTCATTGGATGTTTTTCAGGTAGCTTTAGAACTGGATTCTGGTTTCAGGTCAAAGAAATAAAATAAAATCAAACTTTAATAGATTATTTCCTCACCCCCACCTCTGAGAATTTAAGTCAAAAATGGTATTATAGTGGAGTGTCTATAGCGTCTCAATCATCCAAATCATGGTTGTCCCAAAGATGCTTTTCCAAAAGGCAATTTTTTCCTTGAAAAAAATTGACTTCTCATTCAAGAAACTTCTTAGGTTCATACTTTATGTCTCAAGTTCCCTCAGCTTCATTTCCTTTCTGTTGTTCAACTTTCAAAGTATTAATAGGAATGGACATGGAGAAATATGCCTTTAAAAGTCTCCACTGAAATCTGTCATCAGAAAAAATGTTGGATGATGACTTCTTCAGGTGTAGAATGCTTAAACCGTGTCCATCTAGGTTAGGAGATTTTCTAGGTAGCTTGATTGGATTTGAAGATTTAGTTGAAGGCCTGAAAATATTTTGTGAAAATCTGTCACATATTATTCATATTTGTTACACCAACTAGAAATGAACATAAATGTAATGTTTCCAAACTAACATTACCTCATAATACTTGTTAGGTCCAATTCTATTTCTATTTCTTTCTCTCTGTTACATAGACACATTCTCCCTGTCGCATTCTTTGTAGCTCATTTAACTCATTTTAAATGCCACTGCTTTTTAGGCAATCATCCCATAAAACTATATTGCTAATACCACAATAGTGGATGCTCTTACTGCATTTATAAACATTCCTTTCATGAAATACCTGTATTTCTTGATCGGGTTGATCACACATCCTATTGCCCTTTTTTTTGCCTCCTCTGTAGCCACCTTATTGTAGAAAATTGGTTGTGTGGTTTTCTTGCATGCTGATGCAGCAAACACAAGAACACACTGTTCATATTCCACCTGAAAAACTAATTATGCATACGCTCATCATAATTTCATCTCTGGGTCAGCAAAACATCAATGTAGAAGCAACTTTGATTTTAGGAAGCTGAATATGCAACAGGAATGGTCTGATCCATCAGCAGTTGCTCAAGTACTAATTGTTGTGCTGGTTTTCTTTTTGAGGTGTGGAAAATATCCTGGTTGGCAATGACATGGCTTTTGAGACCATAAAGGCCCCTTGGAGCCCAGAACATAACATCCATCGAATGAAGGTGGTGAGGGAAATTTTGGACACTGAGAATAAGGCGGCGTTCCATCTCCATGATGACATACCTAGATACCTTTATTTTGCATCCAACTGCACAAACAAGTGGGGCCATGATCAAGGCTATCGAATCCAGATAGTCAGCTTTTCTGGAGACCATCTGCTAGAGTCGGATCCAATGGAGCCAGGCCTCAGCTGGGGTCGGTAAGTGATTATTTCTAAGTCCAGAAGTAAAATAGGTTCACCTATGTCTTTGGGTTTCAAGAGCTTGAATAAGATAGATAGGAACTGCCAAATTTATTCATTTTAAAGAGATATATTTCTTTAAATCTATTTAAAACATTTAAATATTTCAAATATTTGCTAAGGAAAACTTTTCAATTTAGAATAGAATAGAATAACAGAGTTGGAAGGTACCTTGGACATCTTCTAGCCCAACCCCTTCCCTAGACTTAACTGTGACTTAACAAGACTTCACTGTGGAAAATACAGTATAAAGAAAAAAAAAGTGCTATTCAAACTGTGCAGAATTTCTTTTAGCTCATATTTCTCACTACTGATCAAAAATTCCTTATTGGAGACTTCCTGGGGGCGTGGCCTGTTGCCGAGGAGGGCTCCACCGAGCTCCTCAGAGATCTGGNCCGCCAGTGGACCCGGAAAGCAGGTCACACCTACAGAAGAGGTTCCAAAATTTTTTGAAACCCACCACTGCATGGTTCATATATGTTGGCCACACATGTTTCTAGATATCCTTCAGAAATAGTAAACACAACCACTCAGAAAAAGAAACTAGGGGACATTTTTGAGGACATGTGTATAGAACTCCTCTTAAATGACATCAATATGAATGTGTTGCAAGGTTTACCTATAACCAACAGATATTTATTAGGAAAGAAGGAGATGTGTGGTTCTTCCAGAGGAGCTTTGGCTACAGCCAGCTATTGAGCCCCACACATCCTTCCTAAATGAATAGAATGTGTGGAGTCAAGTAATGATCCCTTGTATTTACAAATGAATCCATTTGTAATTTAAGATACCTGTGCAAAAGAAAGCAGAGAGATAAACAGCAGAGATAGTAAAGACAATTTATGGTGATTTGTAACTCATGGAGTCTTATATATCATGTTTTATAAAAACACTATTCTTCAACAACTTTTTTGTCTGTTAAGCATGTTCTCAAAATCTCAGATGTCACCAGCCCAAAAAGATGCTGTTTCTGGTTCGACATGTTCTTCAAACACAATGAAATATCTAAACGTTTTTATCGCACCATCAAATCATTCAGCAAACTTATTTTAATGAAGATGATGCCTAAACAACTGTTGTTATGCATTTATTTTTCTGCATACGCAGATGATTTTCTCCTTTTCCTTTGTGAGTTGTACATTATATAAAATCTGCTTGTTCCAGTTTCGAATCATTATTGAAGAGGAACTGCACAAGACTGAGAGTGGATTAAAAATTACAGGCTACAAGAATATATGGAAATTGATGATATATAGGGCATACAAATGAAGCCTTAATAATTAAAAGGGATATACAAGCAACAAACCTGCATAACTTTTCTATATTGGATTTACAAAAAAGACTTCTTAAAGCTTTGAAGAATTTTTAAAGAAAGGACAATGAAAAGAAATCAAGTTTTATGAAATTATTTGAAGGGATTAAAGTTTATGATTGTTAAAAGTAAAAAGAAGAAATATAAGGTCAGTATATTTGGTCAAAGTTAAAGATGAAGTACTGTTTTCTCTGGTGACAGTTAGTGCAACTTTTGCTGATCGTGAAAGTTCAGCAAAATGATGAATGACAGGCATTAAGGATTTGTTTATACCTGAGAGATGGGATATGGGGAAAAGAGATATTGTATTTTAAGGGAAGGTAATAAGGTACTAAACTTGGTTGCACTTGCTATGAGGGAGGAGACACATCTTTATTTTTTTTCTTTACTATAATCTTAGTGTTTCTTTTCTATCCTATTTTTTAATTGGTGTACTTTCTTTTTATTCCTTCCTTTTTAATTTGTTAACCTTAAATTAATTTATTTTTATCTTTTTAATTGTAATGTTTAATAAGGTTACTATTTTAAAATTAAAATAAGAATCAGTCCTGTAATAGGAGTTTCATTTCCAAGTGAACTTAATTATTTCCCTGATATTTAGAAGAAGTGGTGCCATCACTGAGAAGGTTTATGACTCTGGAGACCCATGAGATGATATCGTTTAATAGAAGGTACCCAGAGCATGTCCCTCTTCTTGATCTTGTGGGTGGGCAGAAACTGGAGTGGAAAGGTATTCTGACACATAGTTTTGCCCTATGCCAAAAATAACGTTGTTGTTGTGTGCTGAAAATCATGTGTGTGTGTGCCTGCACTCATTATGCAATGTGTGTGTGAGACACCCCCTGCATACCCTGCCCCATGTGCATGCACATACTCACCTGTGCTCCTTCCACACCCCTGCACATTTTGGGTCTAGTAGGCCTCCCTGCAGTCTCCTGGGACCAAAAACAGGCCGGGGGGGCACACCTATACACGCCCCCTGCCACCCCATGTACACGCACATTACTACCTTCCTGCCCATGCTGCCCGTGCACCTCCCAAATGTGCCCCATTCCTGATGCATGGACGGCGGAGACCCAAAAAACAGCTGACTGGTTGAAGGCATGTGCGCATGCACAGTGGAGTTAAGCTGGGGCAATGACTCACGTACCCGCAGAGAGGACCCTGCATGCCACCTGTGGCACATGTGCCATAGGTTCACTATCACGGCCCTATGCCATGGAGACATTTGTAGGTGATCATCCACATCTTGAATTGCACTAGAAGCCTACTGGGAATCAGCTCAGCAGCTAATTGAGCAGTGATTTTACACATTATAGTAAGCCAAACAGAAGGTATTAAAGATATGAGACACCATGATCAAGGCATCATAGTCCCGGCATGAGTGCAATTGCTATACAAGAGGAACCTGTGCAAAAGTCTCTCTGGCCATGACTCCAGACAGATCTTTGATCAGGAGTATCCACAGATTGTGTCCCAACACTAGCCTAAAGGTGAGATCGCTAAGAGGTGGCATGATAGTTGAGTTTCAACATTTGAGGGATTGTTACAGAAAGGAAAATGAAGATTTATTATTCTGAAGACAGAGTAGGAGGGACAATGAGTTGAAGCTCTGAAGAGAGTGGTCTGAAGTGAAGATGAGCAAGAATATCATCAAGGAGTAATTTTCTCAGAGAGTAACAGCAGTAACTTGTCTTTGGGGTTTCTTAAGATGTTGGCTATTTTTTGATCAGTGTTCTTCTAGGCTTCTTTCAGAAACTTCCTGAATGGTATCTTTTTAAAAGACATAATTTTGAGAATAAGAATATTTGCTTAGTATTTACCCTCCCTTTCAATCTGCGTATACTTTCATGATATAACCATGTGCATAGTAAGAGATTGCAAATCTACTCCTAAAA